CGGGGAGTACATCAGGATAATCCAAGGAGAAAGAAAGATCAAGCTTTTGGACTTCCGGGTAGGTCGGTCACCATACAATCCTCCTCCGCGTCCTCCCGGCCTGATGGACCCGCCTCTGAGACTTCATTGTCACTTTCCTCTTCGGAGGAGCCAGGTTCTTCGTTTTCCGCCTTCACCACCTCGGGAGTAAGGTCGGACATGGAAACAACTCCGAGGTCTAGTTCGGGAAACTTCTGTCGCATCATATACTTGCACATCTTGAAGTCAGAACAATACGAGCTTGATCCGTACTCGACCTGGAGATCGTGGAACTCCGGAGACTTCTTGAAGCTTTCGATGGCGTGTTTCTTCTCTTCAGCCCGCGCCTCTTGTATGGCGGTCTCGAAGATCTCGGTGCACTCCCGAATCATTGCTTCAAGGTTCTCGTTTTCCCGTTGAAGCTTCCCCTTCTCCTCGGTCAGCGCTAGGATCAACTCTTGTTGACTAAGAGCTCATTTTTTAGGCCGAAGAACCTCACCCCAAGTTATATCCAACTCGCGATAAAGTTTCCGTGCCTTCTCTTCAGCCTCCCGAGCTTGCTTCAGGCAGATCTCAGATTGGTAAACCAACGAATGAATGGCGAAGTTCACCTAACAAAGGGAAACAGAGGTAAGTATGCTTAAAGGCAGACAAGGAAACGAAGTGTGAAGTAAAAAGTACTCACCACCATGCAATAGGTAGCAGCCTGACCTCCGAGCTGACTCGTAGGCATGTCAGCCCACTCCGCGACCTCAATTGGAAAAACGACATCCTTGCTCTTGAGCATCCCGAGATGAGGGGTCATTATACTGTCCTTTGGGAGCTGAGGTTCGGGTGCCGAAGTGCTCTCCGGTTCATGAGGCAGAACGCTTTCCTCCTGGTCTTCATCCAAGTCCACAACGGGAGGCCGAGGGTGGGCCTCCTCCTCCTCCGGGAGCTCGGCAGAGATCGGCTCCGGCGCAAGGATGATGGAGCGTGGGTAGAAGGACCAGCCTCCCGGTGAGACTTTTTTGAAGCCTTCCTCTTCTTCCCTCCTCTTTGGAAGCTCTTGAGAAGGTTCTCAGCGTCGACCTCCGACATGGCTGCTGCAAGAGGAAAAGGAAAGGTTAGTCACGAACTAAGAAAAACTTAAAATAAGTAAGTACCGAGGTGAAGACCTACCAGGAGGGCTCATTCCAACTCGCACAAGCTTCTCCTCGGCCAAAAACTTTCATCACCAGGCCGAGGTCCCTCCAAGAGTTAACAACTGCCCTAGTCTCCGCATCTAAGCTCACCCCGGGATCTTTGATAGCCACCCTCCAGTGAGTCGGGAAAGGCCATCCCTCAGGATTCTGAACAAAAAATACCTTCTCTTCTAGGCCGTCACTTTGTTCGGGCTACTGAACATGATTTTAAACCCGGGCCGAGGAGAGATATAGTAACTTTGTCAGACGTCCCCGCGCAGACAAGCGGAATTCTTTTTAATTGAACAGATCGAGCTAAAGACGTCTAAAGACAGAGGTTGGTTGTACTCGTGGAACAAAGAGATGGTACCTACTATAGTCCGGATTGAGTTCAGGTGAAGTTGGTCGATAGTGATGTTAAAAAACTTGACTATTTCTATAATGAAGGGATGGAGCGGGAAGCGCAGCCCGACTACGAGCTGCTCTTCGAAAACTGCAAGCTCATGGTGATCGTGAGCCCAAGGGTATTGACCTAGAGGAATGCTAAAAACTAAACTATCAGGGAGACGGTAGCGAGCTACCAAAGATAGTAGCCAATCCGATGTCATGGTAGAAGGATCGAAGTCATTTGGATCCCGACCCCGAGAAGAAGATGGGACCTCCTCTCTGGAGGTCGGTCCCTCCTCCCGAGCTTCGGGTTCCTCAGGCCGAGATGGCCCAACTTCAGCTAATGAAGTTTCCTTTAAGGGGCGAAGGGGGGAGCTACCTAGCGAGGAGCTGACCTCGCCAGCGGGAACCTAGGACTGCGCCTCGGCACCCTCGAGCTCACTAGAGTCACCTAGGAGCCTATCTATGCTAGCACTAGACATAATTAAAACAAGAATAACAAAGGAGAACAACCTAAGAAAAAAACGAACTCACCAAAAGAAGAACGACCTCGAAATACAAAGAAAGAGCAAGCTGAAGGACTCCGACGTGACCTCGGGAGAGCTCAATCACAGAATTTTTGGCGAAGAAGAGGGGTCCCTCGCCCCCTATTTATAGTTCACCGCGAGGCGATCAACGGTTGAGATCTGCTTGATCCAACGGTTCTCATGAAAACCGGTTGCACGACGCCCGTGGACGAAATCGGTTGAGCGCGTTTTTTGACATACGCGGAATCCATAAACAGCATGACGTCCACGCGTACACCCAACACGACCTAGGCTACGACTGGTTAAACCGAAGGTTCGAATAGGTCCGATCGGATGATTCGCTCGACAGACCGACTAGACCTCGGGCCAAATCCACATGGACTCGTTATAAACTCCCTGCTTTGGGTTGGGACCCCTGGCTCGGGGAGTGGGGGGCAATTGATGAAGGGCCATTTGGCCCGACCTAGTAATAGGGGGACACGTGGACACAACCTGACTAATAGATAACAGCTCAGCTCGACATACCAAGACCGCAACAAATCGAACTCGGATAATCAAACCACCTCGGCATGGGTCAACTCGGGGCGAGGTCACCTCGGTACAAGGTCGCATCAGGACCACCTCGGTCCTAAGGCACTTTGGGGTTCAACCCAGTTCGGAACTTAAAGACATCAGTTTGGGGATACCGACATGCCACTACGTGGTGATCCCAAAAACCCCTCCAACGGATCCCGGGCCTCACGGGATCACACCGCGTAACAGCTAGCATTATCTCCCCGACCGATTCGGGCGGAAGTGATGAACCTTATCGATTGGCAGCATTATCTTCCAACTAACGAGGAAATGAGTCCTATCGTGACGAAGATCCCGGAACTGATCCGCGAAACCCGCGAGGACTCGACTATATAAAGGCTCCAACCCCGAGGGCACAATGTACACGTGATTTCTATGCTCTCTAGCTCTCTGCATTCTTAAGCTATTTCAGCTCGCAACAAGTATACTAACTTAAGTATCGGAGCGACCTCGCCGAGCTAGCAACCGAGTTCTCTGATCCTACTTTTGCAAACCAACTTAGTCCATCGTCCGCCTGGAAGCCAGATCACCTCCAGTAGGGAGCAGCAAGATCGCGCTACATCAGTTACCAAATACCATTCCCTTTATTCCCATAAAATTGACCCGTGATAATTATATGATGTGGCATTCTCAGTTCATATCTATTTTCAAAACATATGGTCTCACGAGTATCGTTGAAGGCAAGCCAAAGCCACCCTGAGTGGAAATTGCAGATGTCAATGACAGCATCGGGAAAATTCCAAACCTAGATTATGAAGACTGGGTTCGTATGGATCAATGGATCCTCAGTTATATTTTATCCTCATTAAGTGAAAGTGTCTTGTCGCAGGTTGTTGGATTAACGATCATTTGCTTCAACATCAAGATCACGAGTACTTCAATTGCGTCTTCGACTCCAAACTGTAAAGAAAGGCACATCTTAAGTTTCTGAGTATTTTCAAAAGGCATGTGCTCTTTCCGATATATTAGCAGCCATTCAAGCACCGTTGATAGAAGAGGATATGATTTTATACATATCACCACGTGATCAGATAATTGACAATGGTTAACGATAGGGATCAACTTGACACTTTTTTACTGTTTGGGTACTGCAGTGACATATTTGAAAGTTCGGGTATTAACTTGGCACTACCCCGAAAGTTCAGGGTACTAAAATAGAATTTTTCCTTTCTTATATACAATACTAAATGATGATAAACATGATTAACTTACAATAGTGGCGTGTTTGAATTGATTAAAAGTGAATAACGGTTCATTTAGGATAAGTGTGCAGAGGCTGAGTTGATAAACCTAGAAAGTGGGGTCCATTATCACATGCCCCTTTCCTTTTAGTAGGAATGGTAACGGGCGGGGATCATGTTCCTCGTCTCCGTCCCCAACCCCGATTCTGAAATTAACACCCATCCTTGTCCCCAATCCAATCCCCCTTAGGGATAAAATTTGTCCTTCATCCCCGATCCCTGACGGGGATTGATTTCCTACGGGGACCCAAATCCCCAAAATGTTTTTACATAACAGGGAAATTGGGGCGGAGACATGGGATCGGGGAAATCAGGTCCCGTCGGGATGGGGAAAATTGCCATCCCTACCCTTTAGGTCTTTGAGGAATTGCATTGTTAATTTCATTTATTGGATTGGTAGATCATCATCGATTAGCATTAGGAGAGGTGAATGCATAAAGAAACCTTGCAATTTTGGGGCCTAGCTACGATGCTTCAAGGACATTGCAAATTTAGGTTTGAAGCAATTGGCATGTGTAAATGGTTCTTTTATTGCTGCATTGGACCCAGCAGGGTTCACCAACTAGTCCACACCCTCGGATATGAATGACTAGTCTTAACAACTTTCCCTGATTTATATCTTTAGGAATCTATTTTTCCCTTGAGACCTTCACTCTCCACGCTTTTGGTGGAGCCGCTGGACATACCCAAAGAAGCTGAAGCGGACAGCCCCTCGAATGACTGACAGTCGATTTGGGCCTCTCGGGATTTTTCACCAAGACTCTGTCTGTTGGAGGCCAACCTCGCAAGGCCAGAAGCCACTGTGCTAGCTTCAGCCCTCCCAAACGGGCACTGGATGTGATCACACTGTTCGACCGCGAGACCATTTCACTGTCAATGCAAATAAAACATTTCTTCACAGATAAAGAGATTTTAATCCCAAAGGCGATAATTTCCAGCCAAGATTGACGCACCTTTGTCAGAGCTCTGCCGGTCGACAGCCTATACAATACGACCCTAACTAAACCGATTTATCAGCTAAGGGCCCCAGCTCCCACTCCTCAGGGCCTCACCTTTTGCTATAATAGCCTGTGTGTGTGACCTGCACAACATAATGACATCTCGCTTTTCCTTCATTCACAAACCCGGAGTTCCTTTTCTACATTTCATCAACTTTTGTTTACAAACATTACAATCGCAATCAGTCAATCACATCGGCACATCCTTCATGGCACCAACATATCGATCCCACCCTCCACGATCAAAACCATCGCACAGTTGATCAAGCCAAGAGCCAGAAATCCTTGTGACGCTTTGTTGTGATGAGATATCCTCCAAGCTTTCTGCTTTTCCTCCTCACTGCAATTGTCATGCAGCTGGCGTTCTGGATGCAATACTCGACGATCCCAGGACTGACCTTGGTCCCTGCCCACATCATCAACAGGCGCCATGTCATCGATCGCTTTCTCTGCCCTAGAACCAAAAGTGACACCCCTTGTTTCTTTGCCTCTTCCACTATAATTGGTCCTTTATCCTTCCCCTCCACCAAAGCAACCTCAATTTGCACCTGTCTCAATCCAAAGCACCAGAACCGTTTGTACAGGATTTTCAAAGAAGCTTATTATAATATTATAGAGGTTGTTGTATTAAGTACCATACAATCCAATATATATATATATATATATATATATATATATATATAGCAAAAACTTAATTTGTCTGTTGGGTTGGTGTTTGAGTTTGACATTACAACCTTCACGCCACTAGCCAGAAAATTAAGTGGCTTAATTAAGCCCAGTTGTAATTCTGGTAGGCGACTAATTAATGCCAAATAGTTAAGAAAAAGAAATGTTAAATTTTGATCGATGTGGTAGAGTGCTGGCTAGCTGTGAAACTTCACATTTTCTAAATTGAAGAAAATCCATGACAAACGCGACAAAGGTAATTCGTGTTTTTGTTTTTGTACACCACTCCAGCCTTAGCTTCAGGGTCACTGTTCAGGGTGTCTTTAATTACCAACCTTTCTTTTTCTTAATCCAGGAATAAAAACTAGTTTATCAACGTAGATTAGAAAGGGAAAGGAGACGGGTCATGAAACAAAGAACAGGAAGTGCTCTTAATTTCTATGGTGTTTGAGAGATTAAATTAGCCAATCTGAATATTACTCACCTCAGGTCTCTTCGTTTTACAAACGTTCTTCATAGAGTAAAGAAGATCATGAACCCTTGGACTGATCTCTGGGTTGGACTCCTCGCCTGTAATCAAAATAAGAACCTCACGATTTTGCTTTTTCTTTGCGCGCGTCTATCAAGATTATCAACCCATGATGAGAAAGAGAACTTACCTTGCTTAGAAGGCTTCGTCACACAGAGAAGTACTATAGTATCTTGGTTCTGAACCGTGTGTGTGAGAGCCCACTGTAGAGCACTCTTGGCTTCAGCAGTCGAATCGACCACAATCATGATCCTTCTACTGATAAGAGACGTCCCGGGTTTCACACCATCACCGGAAATCTTCTCCCTGTTGTCTATGAACTCGGTCTTCTGATCGGTTTTGATGTAATTGATGGTGGGTTTTGATTGAATAGTTGGGGACCGAACCCGAACATGAGTCGTGACACGATTCAAGCAGAAACTCGACAATCTTGCAACAGTTCGACCCATCTCTTGAGACGGGTCTCGGTGAAAACGATCGAGGGAATCTCTAAAGAAGAAGAAGAAGAAGAAGAAGAAGAAGAAGAAGAAGAAGAAGAACTTTATAAGAATGAGGTAAGGTATTAGCCGTTGATCTAATTTCTAGGTACTGGCATTGGCCGTCACCATCTCAAGTTTCTTTTCTCTCTTCATCTTTTGTCATGTAATCATTTTTCTTCCTGTTTGTTTCTTTTATTTTTTTTCCCATTGTGGGGGTCCTTCATTGAACGTGCTTACCATGAAGTTGTAGGCCCATGCTGTTTAAGCTATTTATTGGGTCTGGTGATATGTCTATATTATTAAAGAAAGCATCACAGCATAGACGAAAAAAGTATGCAAGGCCTTAAATCATATGAGAGGAAAAGGGGAATATAGTTTGATAGTTGGCACATCATGTGAAAGGAAAGGAAAATAGTTCATTCAACCAGGCCCTCCCCCCC